ATAAAGCAGGGGATGCTTTAGGGCGGGGCTACACAGTGATTGACAGATCTCTACCAGAGACGTATACGTTCATAATAATCCTTATTGAAACGTTCGGTAGGTCAGAAAACTGTGCTCCTGTTCAATAACATCTGCATGAAGGACAACACAAACAGCGTTTGTTTAAAAAATCAATGTCAATATTGTATTTCTTAAAAACGTACAAATGATATTTACATTCAAGCAGCGAAACAAACTGGTACAACAATGTACAAAAGAAAACGATTCTCTCCTCGTGCTCTGCGAGAGCTCAACCGATGTATGGGTTCATAATGAAGCCTGTGATGGCGACGCTGAGATGTCAGAGTTAATCTCAGCAGCAAAGCAGCAATCAAATAATGGCTCACTGAGGACCGTAAACTTGACGTAGGATGAAGTTCAGCTCGAGTCACTTACAGTGTAAAACAAGTCGGTGGTGACGGTACATTCCAAACACGCAGGTATCGGATCATTTACCTGCTTGCATTTACACATCTTGAATGTAATTTCGCCGGAGCCAGGCACTTAGTAAACCGATCTTCCTGCAGACCTGTACAGCAACTGAAAGAAGTCTGTCATATTTACTACCTTATGCAAAAAAAAAAGATACGGCTTTCTAAAAAGATAGACAATTGCCATTTTTCAATAATTAACAAACGAGACTGTACAAGAAAACAAGCATCACAATAATTAATTGTAAGTCTGTGAATCAGGAGTTCGTAAACCGTTTGCTACGACATCGAGTTGAGGAACTTGCTCTCTTCTGCCAGAGCGGTCAGCAACGAGCTCATGTCCCCGATGGCCATGTTGCCCGTCCCTGCCGGCACCGACGGCAACATCACTGAGTTCCTGGGCGTCGTCAAGCGAGAGGAACTCCGGGACAAGCTCTGGAGCAGACCGGGACTCAGGGTCCCTGACATCAGGCTGGAGTGATCCCCGTCGTCCAGCATGCTGTCGAAGTCTATCTGCGCCTCCTCCAGCGGCGTGATACGGTCCACAATCCTGGAGTTTTCAAAAGGAGGTACATCCACCACAAGAGAAACACGGTCCAAGTTCCCATTGGGCTCAAATACTTGAATCTGCCCTGTGTAGTACAAGGCGTTGTCGTCAGAGAAAACTCCACTCAGGTGTCTTGTTTGCTGCATCCCTATTGGCCCTGAAAGGTTCCCGTTTAGAGATTTAGGTTCTGTTGGGGGTGTTGGCTGATTCCCTGTTTGCAAGGGATTCAGGTTGCAATCAGAAATCATAATTGACCCGTCACAGTCTTCAATTTTAACTTGCACGGGCGGAAATCTAGCAAAGTGCACGTCCGTGGTCTCCATGTCAACTGGCTCCTGTTTGCCGGTGGTGCTTAACACGCTAGCGTTAGCATCGGTAGTGTTGCTACACGGGTGATAAGTGGTGTTGCCGTTGTTGAACCTGTAGTGAGAGCCAAGTGCTTCGTTGAGATTCGACGACTGCTGGAATCTCTGCTGCCGGACGCAGTTTGCTCCTGGTTCGGTATTTGGCTGTTTGCACCTCTGCTGTGTTGTGTTGAGGGTTTGAATCGTTGGCTGGTTGGAGCTGAGGTTGTTGTGAAAAGATCCAAAGTTCTGGTTCTGCTGAAGGACAGCCAGGTTCCCTCGGACCTGGAGTTTGGAGTAGTGCTGGCCGGCGTCGTTCCTCTGAGCTGGTAAGTTACTGTCCGATGGACACATCAGCCGTTGATGCCCTGGACTCATGCTGGAGGTGGCCACAACCTGATCGGGCAGATTCACGGCGGCCATCCTTCTCTGATAGTACGCCTGATGATGGAGGTCTTGCTGATTTGTCGACACTCTGTTGGTTGTGTCTCTGTCGTCAGACAGGATCAGGTCTTCTTCAGGGATGTCACCCGTTATCATTCCCATGGAGACGTTTTCCAAAATGCTGGGTGGTCGCTGGATGTAAGGGTAGCGGTGGGGGCTTGCATCCTGTCTCAGGCAGCCTTGCAGTCGGCTATCTACCGCAGGAGGCGGATGGGGGTGCAAGGTCACTCCACCACTCAGTGTGCCCATGCTGTTGTAGCGCTGCATTTGTGGCTGTCTGGAATAATCAATGGCCGAGGGTCTCACAGGGTCACTTGCTCGGCGGGCGATGTTAGACGACGGGACCTCATGAGGCATCAGGCTCCGTGTGGTGTAGCTGCTGTACTGCCTGGAGGTGGAAGACTTCTGGTAGTCCCCACACAGTGCCGTGTGGGTCTTCAAACATACTTGGTCCATGTATGGAAGAGGCGTAGGCGGTGCACCTCCAGTGGCGGCGGCGTATTTAGCCTTGAGGCGGTAGTGCTGTGCTGGGGTCAGGCTGAGAGGGCCGGGAAAGCCCCCTCCTCCGTACCCTCCCGCTCCTCCGCCACACTGGCTGGTCTGACTTGAGCGCCGGGACATGTCGGCAGAGATGGGGTCATAGGAGTCGGCGGAGCTGAGGTTGCTGGGGCGGTTGGCGCCGAACTGCGAGGCCTGGCTCGAGCGTCGACTAGAGTAGCAAGGGGAGATGCCTGAAGAGCGGCGGCTGAGGGTGTAAACTGAGCTCAGGGTGCTGGAGGTGCTGTCACGGCGTGTTGAAAGAGTTTCCAGCAGAGTCGTTTTACCGGAGCTCAGATCACCAAAGCCGGAACCAGGGAAGGACACCGGACCACCACCCACACTCTCGAGGAGGGACCCTGTGAAGGAACAGATGCAAATGTTAGACCAGCATCTCGGTGTCATCGGGGCCTTTTAGACTCTTAGTAATGAAGCTTTCAGACGACTTAGTAACTAGCTGGTGGACAAAATGGAACATCTAGCAGCTAAAGAGTCATTGGTGGAGACCAAACCAGAGATAAAAGTCGACCACTGTCCTGCTTTCCCACTCACCGTTTGCCAGTATGGGTGGGAGCTTGGTGCCGAGGACCGGGGCCGTCGGGTTGCCGGCCCACCGACACGAGTCCCTCACCATGTTCAGCCTCTCCTTCTTCAGATGCTCCAGGCGCCGGCTGATGCCGAACCGCTTTCGGAAGTGGAGACCCATGGCCGCGCCCCCGCCGGTGGATTCGTCCCACCCCGAGGACTCCGCGAAAGGTGGGTCGTCCAGGGCGCTGAGGTCCCCCAGGCTTCCCCCGCTGTGCGCCGCCATCTCTACTCCACTGTCATTGTTGGTGGCACTGCCAAGTGGTGATGGTTCGCTGCTACATGATGACTGACCGCCAGGGCTGGACTGATACATCTACGAGGAGGGGTGGATGGAGGAAATGCAGAAAGATAAGGGTTCGTCCTAAATATACAGTTTTCAGAACAGAAGTGGAGCAGTGAATCTTTTATCCTCCCCCAGCTTAATTGTAAATAACGAGTGTTTTTTTGGGGAGGAGGTGGGGGGTGCACCACAGATTACAGGCTGTCTTAGTCCGTCTGTGAATTAGAAATAAGCAGGATGAAAGGCTGCTGGATCCCAAGCCAGAGCGCCAAGGCCAATCATCACTAGACGTGATCACGTTTCTCCAAAAAAATAAAAACTCTTTTAGGTGAACAAGACTCTCTGCTTGTCACACTGACTTGTTTCAGGTTTAGGTTTACAGTAAAAAGCCGTTTTTTATCATGTACTTTACATGTTTCCTGCAGTCCTTAATAACACAACGAAGCAAACGGGAGTTAATTTGTTGCATATTGTTCAACACTATAAATAAACCTCCCGTATCTCTTTCCTCAGGACAATGACGGTTCCATGCTTCTCTCCTCTTAGACTCTAATGTATTCACTGATAAAAGCTGTCTTGATCACGGCGTGATAGCCGGCTCCGTCTGCGCTGAGGGCCGCAACCAATTCCCAGCGTTTGAATATTAATCCTGGAGTGTCTTTTATCTCTGACAGGTGTTTGATAGGTCTCTACTGTTGGTTTAAACTGCCTGCGTGAAGGAAAAGGGACGCACACGGTGTCAGAGACGACATGCAGCGCAAGTGTTTCATAGGTATGACGAGATAAACCTCTGTTCAGTATGACTTCAAATGTATTTTGTGTTGTTATTAAAGAAAAATATACATAAATACAGTTATGATATAAATATTATTTAAAGAGGAATTTGGACAAACAAATTGGACAAAGTCCTGCAGCAGCTGATGAAGAAATGAAGTGATTTCATGAATATGGAGGACTGAAGCTGCCAACATAAAAAATAAATAAAGATATATTAAATGTACCAAAAATAATATTAAAATTGTTTCAGCTCTATTCTCTTTTCTGAAGAATCCGTCGGATGTGAAAAAATGTCAATACAACAAATATTAAAGTAAATAATACAGAAATAAATTAATATATATAAAAATGATTTAATACATTTTAAATAAAATTTAAAATAAATGTCAAATAAATACATTTTAAAATGAATAAAAAAATAAATAAAGGGGAAATTAATTAGTCACATTTAATCAATCAATTAATTCCTCCAATGTTTTTTTAATATTGTTTTTGGTACATTTAACAACATATTGATTTATTTATAAAGTCGTGTATTTATTCGTGTTTTATTTTGGCAGCTTCCAGCCCCCATACTACAAGGACAGCTTGTTATACAATAACTGACAGTCAGTAGTTCATAAGTAAACATGATTGATAAATCTGCTGCTCGAATGTGTCGGCTTCATTGTCTGATGTTGAACACAAGAAAGGAAATAGATTCCCACTAAAACATCACTTTTCTGTGGACTGTATTTGCTTGTTTATGTCTCAGAAGCTTCCAGATTCAAGTCCTTCCTTATTTTGTTTCTTGGTCAGTATCTCCTTTTGGAATGAAACGGTTCATTGTGAGTAAAATGGCAGAAGATGGTGAAAGATGTGATAATAAGCCACCGGTGAGCTCACCTTAACAAAGTCTGTCCGTTAGGAAAGTTAGGAAAGGAGAGAAGTGAAGATCATCAAGCAGCAAGCAGAGTAAAGGTTAAGAGGACAGATGGACTACAAGTAGACACTCCATGAACAGATAACACTGCTGGTACTCGATCTCACCACAGAGGTCTCCGTCTTGATGGACTTGACGTGCAGGTAGTCCTCCACGCCTCTGGGGGAGCTGTTGTCCGACATCTTGTCCTCCCTGTGGATCCGGTCTCGGTGCCCCGCCTCGTTCTCGCCGTTCTCCCTCGGCGCCGGCGGCCTCGGCGGCAGGTCGCCGCGCTGCTTCTTGGTGACGTGGGCCTCGGGGCCGTGGACCGTCTTCACGTGCTTCCTGAGGGAGCTGGGATCCGTGTAGCGCTTCGTACAACCGGGGATCTTACAGACGTAGGGTTTCTACGCAGACCAGGAAACGCATGGACAGGGGTTAAAGGTCATAGTTCAAACCAAACAGAATTTCACTTCGGTGGTTATTTTAACCCCAACGACAATCTAATTAACTAATTCACCATTTATTCTTTATTAAGAGCCTGTATGTGAGGGTCAGTGAGTCAAAGGCACCTCGTTGGAGTGCGTCCGGTTCTGGTGCTTGGCTCGGTCCGAGGCGTTGGAGAAGGCCTTGTTGCAGCCTTCGTGCTCGCAGACGTACGGTTTCTCTCCGGTGTGCGAGCGCAGATGAGTTTTGAGGTTCTCCAGGCGGGAGTAGGCCTTTGAGCAGCCCTCGAACTGCAGAGGAAAACGTTATCAGGCTTTTAAACATCAGAAAGCCACATTTTTATTCATATTTTAGAATCATGTAGAGAACGCATCTTAACTAATTAAAAGTTGAATTAATAAGCAATTCTGACTATTTGTAGACCAACTAATTAAACCAGAAAATGATCTGCAGATAGATTGATGTAGAAAATAATCAGCATTACTTATTTTATTATTTTTAAACATATTTGCTCCAGTTTCAGTCGTTCATTCTGAACATGAAAGAACATTTCTTGTTAAATCTCTGAACCGTTGATCTTGTGGGTCATGTTGGAGGAGAACTCTTCAATCTGTAATCTGTGAAAGAATCCGTTAATCTGCTGCAGTGACACCATCTCTAAACTCTGTTTGAGCTTTTATTAACACAAACAAAGAGATCTTCCTTCCTGGCTTCCCAGGAGTGTTAGAGTGTGTTTACCGACTGTGTGTGTGTGTGTGTGTGTGTGTGTGTGTGTGTGTGTGTGCAGAAACATGTACGGTGTTTAGAGAGCGTGAGCGGACGCCCTCCGGGGGCAGCCGAGGCCATCCGTTACCCACCGTGCACTTGTGTGGTTTCTCCCCCGTGTGCCGGCGCATGTGAACCACCAGCATGTACTGAGCTTTGAAGGGCTTCTGCTCCCGCGAACACTCCTCCCAGCGGCACACGAACTCCTTCTTCTCTCCGTGGATGTGGTCATTATTGATGTGCTGTGGGACACACACACACACACACACACACACACACACAGAGCAGTGAGAGGTTTCCTGCAGAGAGTTGTCCACTAAGAGGCTCTCATGTTGTTCTCTGCAGAGATCCATCTTCTGCGGGTGAACCTCAACGGGCCGCTGCAGCAGAGGAGCTGTTACACTAATTAGGACGGCGTAGCTTCTTTTACACGTGTCGGGTTTCACAGTGAAATCCAAATATTCTCCACAATAAACATGAATCTGATTCATCGGGAACGTTTTGTTTTCTGCCAGCGAATTATTTTTCTAAAATCAAGTTTATTTTTCTCGATGCTACTGAAGCGACTTGTCTTATATCTTTAGAACATTATTATTATTATTGTTCTCTTTTCTGACTACTTTAGTTGATGGGACTCTATTTTAAACAGAGATTATTAGATATTCATCTCATCGTGTCATTTCTGTCCTGAAGTCTCTACTTTCTCTTAGCTTAGCATAAAGACTGGAAGCGGAGGGAAACTGTTAGCCGTGGTTGTGGTTTATCATTTCTTTAATCCAGACAAACAGAGAAAGGGAGTCACATTCTGGGACTATTTCTTGTCGTATCCATCCGCCCAGCACTGACCTGCAGATATAATCTGTGAGCACAGGTTTTGCTTTCTGCAGACGCTTAATGGCACCCAACCTGGCAACCTCTAAAACGTCCTACTCTGCATGTTGCATGGCTGTAAAGCACCAGAAGAGGAGGAAGAGGAAGAGGAAGAGGGCGCTGGTCCTCCAGAACAAACAGATCTGTGAGATGTTTGTCCTTACATCAGAGGAAGTAAAGTTTACGTGAAACGTGTTTTTCATTTGAGAGCAAACGAACCGTAACGACGCCGACGGCCACGATCTCGACCGCGCTCTCGTCTGTTTACAGGAATCGGTTCAAAGCATCGGAATGATGAAACGGTGCGAGGTGTCCCCCTCACTAACCCCTCCCCCTCCTCCCTCTTCTCTCGCTCTGCTTCACTGGAAGTGAGGAATGCTTCAGACTGAAGAAGAGAAAACTCCAAACAGAGTTCAGAGCCGGCTTTCTCATCAGACTTCAGTCCGACGCACTAGAAACGGACAGAACGGTTTATCTCTGCAGCACTTTCAAACACTTTCACTTTCTCATCCAAGATGATCGGTTCAAGGTTTCTGATTGTCCTGCAGAGATTCAAGAAGAAGAGTTTACAACAGACTCTCTCCATGAAGCTCTGACACAGGTCAGCTTCTCTTCATGCAGTTACATGTAAACCTGGTGAACACCTCACCGGTCTAAATCGTGATCCGGTCATCTTTTCTTATGCACAAGAACATTTACATTTGTTGTGCATAAGAAATACATTTTCAAGTAAATTTAAGTTACTTTTACTTGAACAAATTACTTTATTTGCTTTATTATGTTGATTTTACTTGAAACATTCTGCTGACTTTATTTGGAAACAGAGTTGCTTGTTCAGATTATTTCTCCTCATAAATCTTTATTCATGGGGCTCAGAAGCTGCATGAAGAGCTTCCGGTCGGATGGTGTTCCTTCGTGTATTTTCTAGAACGTCTCCAGATCTCCGGGACGTCCCGCTGACGGTCGGGTGTGTATCTGTTTGGCGGACGAACACACACTCACGTGGACCAGCTGCTCCGGCGCGTCGTACTCTCTGCTGCAGCCGTCCCAGTGGCAGTTGGTCTCGTGGACGGCCTCGGGCTCCTGCTTGCACTCGTCCCGGTCCGCGTCGTCCTTCGGGTCCGGCAGGCTGCCGCGGTGGATCTGTGGAGGGCGCGGATCAAACGGAACATGTGGAACCGTTTACACATGTTTCACCTGATGTGGACATTAAATTACAGGCTGAAGTCCGTCACGCTTCACTGCAGCTAAACATTTGTTTGACAACCTGGGACGTTGTGTTTAAGACTCCAGGTTCTCTTTGTAATTAAGAACCCTGAAGAGCCCACAACGTGATCTCTGTGCTTCTGGATCAGAGCGTGAGATCACACTCAACGTCACCAGAACTACAGATCGGCTTTAAAAGGTCTAGAAATACAAAACACACACAACTCTGACCTGAAACCTGCTCCAGGTCTGGACCGTCAAGCTGCTCTTTGAGGACTAAACGTCCTCACCGTCAATCCGTCAAAACAACATCCTGCTCTGTTCCTACTCTGTGAAATGTTCCAACAGAAAATATCTGTTTCAGAAGTTTCACTTTCAGACAAATGTTGACTTTCCAAAACAAAATGTCCTCACTTTGCAAAAATACCATCTGGACATTCCAAAGACATTTTCTATTTCCTTTCATGGACTCTAACGTCCCAAAATGTCCTCACTTTCTAAAACCTCCCCCCAAACATCCTTTTTATTTAATATGAAAGAAGAGACGGTTGTATTTAAACATGTTTGCATGTGTGAGACACAAACTGACACACACACACACACACACACACAC